GGAAAATTTTTATACATCGCTGATCTGTTGTCTCGATACTTTGATGAGGACAATAACGCGCCCGATATTGAAGATCTTAACGAATTCGTCCATTCATTAAACATCACCGACGAACGCCTAAACAGTTTTCGAATCGAGATAGAAAAAAGATAAGCATTTAACGCAGTTGAAACAAGTTTTAATAAATGGCTCGCCGCATAAGAAAGAGTTGTTATGTGACGATATTAAAATGTTTTGGAAGCATCGTTCTGATCTGTTTTTAGAAGACGGTATCTTATATTTGAATAACAGGGTTATTGTACCGCCTGTTTTGAGAGAAACCATATTATCGCAGCTGCACGTGTCTCATTTAGGCATTGAAAAAACAAAAAAGCGCGCTCGCGAATTAGTGTACTGGCCAGGAATTGATGGTGCTATTGAGAAAATGATTACCAATTGTGACATATGCCAGCGAAGTCGATCCGCTAATGTTAAGGAACCAATGATACCACACAGCATTCCCAATCTACCCTTTAATAAAATAGGCGTAGACATTTGTGAATTTGCATCAAGAAACTATTTAATAATAGCGGATTATTACTCGCGATATTTGGACATAGCGCCGTTGAAATCGAAAACAGCAACTGAGTGTATCAATGCACTTAGAACATGTTTCGCCGTACACGGATTACCTGTAGAAATAATTTCAGACAATATACCCTTCAATTCATACGAGTTTAAACGATTTTGTGATCAAATTGGAGCTAAATTAATAACAACAAGCCCTGGTTATTCGCAATCCAACGGTTTTGCTGAGCGTTTCGTTGGGATAGCAAAAAACTTAATAAAGAAAACAAATGAGAGTAAAAAAGAGTTATGGCTGGCCTTACTCGAATATCGCAATACACCGCTTAAAGATATTGATGCTTCACCAGTGGAACTTTTAATGAGTAGAAAAACCCGCACCCTTTTGCCAACAAAAACAACTTTGTTTCAACCAAGAATCATTCCGAATATATCTAACAACATAAATGCAAAAAATTACAAGTCAAAAAAATACTACGATCGTTCTGCATCGCAAAAAAAATCCTTTGTGAAGGGTGACAAGATATGGTATAAGAACAACAATAAGGGATGGGTAAAAGCTACAATCATCGACACACACGATTCACCTAGATCATACTGGATCGAACTAGAAGACCAAACCATTTACCGGCGAAATTCGAAATGGCTGCGAAAACGATTATAGTTATTGGTATATTAGAATATTTGAACTTTTTTAATCATTGAATTATAAATTATTAATGAATTTACTTAGTATATGAATTAAGAAGGGAGATGTTATATATATATGTAAACTATGGCATCCCCTACACACATACATGTAACTTACTTTACGTTGACATCACTGTCACTTTAATTGAAATAAACAA